AGCACGCAGTACGATGTGTATCGTCTGAGAGACAGTTACAAAATGTTTTCGTCGTTGCCAATGCCAAAAAATGCCATTGTTCATTAAGTCGAAACAATGGTGGTTGAATTCTAACAACTGATCAACAATGAGAACTTTGATAAGGAGTTCTTGATAATCAGTTCTCAACAATTATTTTTTATTATTAAAGTTTAACATTGTAAAATTAACAAAATTAATATAAAACTCATATTCTGGTGAAATAAACCACATGGCAGCCGAAAACTGTATACTGTATTCCCTTCCCGTTCTCCTGCCGTTCCCTCGCTTGTCGTGCATTCTTTCCAAAAATCAGGACTTTTTTAAAACGCTGCGGGACACAGGACAAATTGTGAAAAATCGGGACTGTCCTGCCAAAAGCGGGACTTCTGGTCACCTTAAAAGACACTTGTCACAGCAAGTGTCTAGGACAGAGTTAAACTGCCTGCCCCAGAGGGTTTTCTGGGCTGTAAGTCTTCAAAGAAGCCCGCTGCCAGTTCTTTCTTTCTCCTGCGGGTTTTGTTAGTTTTTGAAGTGGTATTTTTGTAACTAAAAACAACTCCTCAAGTGCTTGGCTGCTAACCAAAGGGCCAGCGGTTCACACCCACCAGCTGTGGGAAAGATCTGGTGGTTGGCTTCCATGGAGTGTCGGGCTTCGGAAAGCCTCTGGGGTCGTTCTGCTGCTCTTCCCTGTGGGGCTGTTAGGGATTGGGATGGATGGACTCAACAGCAGGGCATTGGGTTGGGGTTTACATGTTACGAGCAACGTTTTTGTGTTCCTTTTATTTTCTTCAGAGGCTGCAGAAAGGACATTTCAAGCAAAAGGCATCTTGGCCGGGGAACACAGAGTTTATAAACCTCATTTGACCTTCATGAAATTGTCAAAAGCACACTGGCTTCATAAGAAGGTGAGTTCACGGCTTTCCTGTGTGCTTTTTTCCCCCTTTAAATCATTTTATTGGGGGCTCTTTTCACAATCCATACACCCACCCATTGTGTCAAGCACATTTGTACATTTGTTGCCATCATCATTTTCAAAACATTTGCTTTCTGCTTGAGTCCTTGGTATCGGCTTCTCATGTTTTCCCCCGCCCCCCCCCCCACCTCCCTCATGAACCCTTGATAATTTATAAATTATTATTATTTTTTCACATTAACCCATGTCTCCCTTCACCCACTTTTCTGTTCCCCATCCCCCTGGGAGGAGCTTAGAGGTAGATCATTGTGATCAGTCCTCCCTTTCTTCCCCTTCCCCTCGTGGTATGGCTACTCTCAATATTGGTCCTGAGAGGTTGATCTGTCCTAGATGCCCTGTGTTTCCAGCTATCATCTGTACCCGTGTACATCCTGTGAGCTTTGTTTTAACAGGCCACACCAGCTTCAATGCATGTCTGGGCCATGGCTATGAATGACATGTATGATGGCTTTTGATGCTCCTGGCATTCCAAGTCACTTTGGTTCTAATTCCTGCCTGTCGGGAGACTCAAATCTTCCACAGAAGCTATTACAGCTGTGCCTTTGCCGCTGTGGCTATTAGTTGCATACCCTTCACCAACAGTTACCGCTGCTTCGTCTATGGCTTTATCTGCTTTGTGCCTTGAAAGCTTGAGATCAGGCCAGGGTTCTGTTTTGCTGCTTTTGTGCTTATGGTTGGTTGCAAGCTACTGTTCTCAAAGGCAGCTCACTGCACCAGTTCTCCAAAGAGCATTTCTATCTCCATGTCCCCCTTTTACTAGAGCTCCTCCAGCTCCCCAGTGACCACCTTGTTCTTTCAGTATTTGCTTCCACTGAAGACTGCAGCAAGCGTATCAGGGACTGGGCAAGAAGGTAACTACCCCCACCCCGGAAGCACACTCAAGAGGCCTTCTCCCTGAGGATGGTCCACAGTGACGCAGCCAGAGACAGGTCTTTTTACTGCCTTTCCAGGACATGGCCCCCTGCCTCAGAGGTTGAAAGCATTTTTTGGCTTTCTTTGGATCCTGCGCAGGAGCCCTGGTGGCATAGTCAGCTAGGCTACCCCCTGAGCTGCTGGGTACAAGGTCAGCAGTTCAAACCCACCCGCTGCTCTAGGGGAGCACTCACACGTTCTGTCTGGGAGTTTCTCATGCAAAGCAGAACACCTGTTGACCGCTACATCCATTTGGGGAGTAGCACACAGATGAATGCCCTCTCTTTGCTGTGCTTACCTTTGTTGCAGTTATGACAGATTTGCTGCTGTCAATGAAGGTCTTCTATTAGGACGTAGATTTCTTTTTTCTTGTTTTGGTACATTTTATTTATTTATTTAAATCATTTTTTATTAGGGGCTCATACAATTCTTATCACAACCCATACATACATCAATGGTGCAAAGCACATTTGTACATTCATTGGCCTCATCATTCTCAAAACATTTTATCTCCACCCAAG